ACGGCTTGCCCCATTTCAGAACGCCACCTCGGCATCAAAGGCCCCCAAGGTGTGACCGTATCGGCCTGACATGTTACCCACATCGAGGCTCTTTCAACGGCCACAAAAACAAAGTGGAAAAGAACCTAACAGCCATCGGCCCCGTATAAAACCTACTGATGATAACCTCTTGAAAGCGACCTGCGTCCAAGGGTTCTCCCACAGGGTTACCTTGGTCAGGAATCGCCAAGGGGTTGGATTCAGGGGGAATACGAGGATCCCGCTTCGGCCTGGGTTTTCACCTTACTACTTCACCCTTCACTAACGCTTCGACCTGAAGTAGTGGGGGACTGGGGGACTACACCGGACTCCAAACGCAAGAATAAAATTGAAAATCCAAAAACGCACAAGTACGCAACTACAACAACACCGTATAACCTATGCACCATAACGTTAAGGACCTGGTGGTGCACCCTCGACCGCAACAAAGTAAGCAAACAAGGAAGCAAAGCTCACCTCCCTGAACGTGACACGTGTCGTCCCTCGACGTGTGCCGCTCAACGGCCTTAGGATCACGTACTCCGCTCTCGGCCAAGATAAGAAGACAAGGACACACAACGTCCTCTAGCCCAGTGCCATCATCGTCCACAAAACCAAGTACACACAACGTCCTCTGGCCCAGTGCCATTATCATCCTCAAAGCCATGGACGCCAAACTACGAATATTATCGCTTCGGCCTGGAGCACTAAAATCAACCATGGGGCCTCCTCAGCCAAAAACACAAAAGGCAACCACCAACGGCCAAAGAGAAGAAGCATCACCCTCATCAGCTACTCAAATCAAAGACGCATATCGGCCACTGAGACAGGACACTCATCGTCCTCAAACAAACAAATGCACACCATCAGAGGAACAGTAGCCTCCTTCGTCCACAACGAAGGGCATACAACGACCAAACACAATGAATAACCACAGCGCCCCCGCGTCGGCCAAAAACGTCAAGATTGCAGGAATCTATTCTCCCTCACTTCGTCTACATCTCAGCTCAGAGAGTGGGGCACTCCTGATGGAGTATATGAGTCTAGACCCCAGGACCCATATACTCAGAAGAATAAGAGGCACAACTGTCACTCAGTGGGATCTCTGTCGGCCAGATGGCCCTCCATTGACTAGAAAGACATCAACTCGGAACATGATCCAGAAATCAGGAGAACCAGGTGTCTCCGTCGGCCGGGTCTCCGTCGGCCATGGTTCCGTCGGCCAGACCCCCGTCGGCCACAAAGAGCTCACAAAACCGGATTTCACACTCAGTCATTTCTACATACTTTGTACTCGGCCCAGTAGTGGCCCCATTGTAAATGAGCCTCCCAAGTCCAAGACTTGGGAGCCCAGCCCATATTTCCTCTATAAATACTCCCCTTGGGAGTAGTTGTAGGGGTTGAGAAATCATTTATTACAACATATATTGCACTTCTCTTTCTAGCTCTCACTTCTCTCTAGAATATATACTCTATCACACATATTGAAGTTCATATGAGTTGATTATAGATAATACTTAATAAGTTCTTAAAAAGGAAAAATAAGAAAAAGAAAGTGAATTCGAATATATAAAGCATATCACGATACTCATTGTTATGCTTCCAATGCTCGACAAACTATGTCTGATGCTCACTAAGGGGGTGTTTGGAACTAATTCTGCTTTTGCTTCTTTTTTAAAGCAGATGCAGAATCAGAATCAGTTTTCAGAAGCTGGTCACCCCCAGCTTCTAAAAAAACTGTTTCTAGGAGTAAATTAGAGCACCAGAATCACTTCTGCACTTTCACTCAAACACTTCAACTTCTGCTTGTGAAGGAGCAGAAGCAGTTTTAAGAATCAGATCCAAACACCCCCTAGCACGATCCTACTCAATAGAGGAGGTTTGATGCTCAAATAACAAAACTTACGATTTTCATATCAATGCTCATTTGTACGTTACGTGTGCTCATTTGGTACTGATGTACTCTTTTTTAAAATGTCATAACAATGCATATTTTAAAAGTATCATATTACATTAGGTTCGCATATTGAAATTCATAGGAATTGATATCACAATATTCATTATTCGACTCCTAATGCTCAGTAAAATACGTATGATGCTCATTAAAAGTTCATTAAAAGCGTATTAATACTCATGTGACAAAATCATGATTTTCACTGAAATTGCGAAAATGCTCATCAATAGTACACTAATGCTCATTTAGCAGAAATCACGTTTTTCACATTAATTAGAAAAATGCCACCGAATTGTTTTGCTATTTTTTCCTTGGGCTTGTTACTTATGGAGTTATTATGAGCCTGAATCGCTATTAATTTGTTCTTTGTTGGGCCGGCTGTATAGTGCTCACCGTACAACCGGATGTATGATATACGAATTCCGAAACAATAGATTGTCAGCAGCCATCTCGTCACAAGCCAATCCCGGCCACCACCAGCGAGCATGAGCACCGAAAAACCTCCGACCACGACGGCAACCCCCAACAACACCCCGAAAAAGCACCGAGTTATTTTTTCCTTGGGCCTGTTATTTATGGAGTTATTATGGGCCTGAATCGCTGACTACAATGTTTTCTTGGATAATTTAAATTTAAGACTAATGTGTTCTATCTAGGACTTTATGATATTAGAATTATAACTAAACATTTACCATTTTGACTAGGTGATTATTATATATTTACGTTTCCTTCTAAATGAAATTTCTTTACGGAAGGATGTTTTAATACTATTCCCTGATGTTTTCAATTATAAAAGATACAAGTAATTGTATTTGTTTGTGTGTTCTAGAAACAAGTTAATCGAGTTTCAAATTGGTTACGATGATTTCCTACACGAAAGATGCAACCTCGAAGTGATTTTTTCAATATCCGACCCTACACGATCCGTTCATGTATGATTTAACAACTTATTTTGGGTATCCAGTGTTGTTGGTTGACAACCAAAACAAATTGGGTAGGAATACAGCAACCCGACCCCAACTAGCCGATTACTCCCGCACTGAACCCATATTTCCAGATTTTACGTTATTGTTAGGCAGTGGAGGAGCTAGGGGGGGGGGGGGAGGGGGGGGCAAGAGGGGGCAAGCGCCCCCGCTCCGACTAATTTTTTTTACTAGTATTACTTATAATATGTTTCTTGCCCCGGCTTCTTTTTTAATTTTAAAAACAATAAGTACAACTTAAGGTTATTTTAAGATGAAGTGTTAAAATAAATAAAAAGGTATTTTCAGAAAAAGTAAAAAAAATGAAATATAGAATAAAAGGGGATTAATGTATGTAATACATTTGGCATCCCAATTTGCCAATAATCCGGAGTAGCTCAGTGGAGACAAGTAACACGCTCCCTTCGTATCACCTGTGTTCGAATCCCCCTCAGGACAGATTAAGTTAAACTTGTTTTGCTTTTCTTCCGCCCCAATTCTTCCAATTTTATTTTCTTCAGCCTACAACTCGTCCCACACCGGATGAAATAGAGGATTCACTCCTCATTTGAGCCTATATAATCGCTCCTTCATAGTTGATAAAGATTAAGTTGCTAGTAAAGCTTGAGTGCAAGTATTAGCTACAATATAAACAAATATTGAATACCCATTCGGTTTTTGTGAAAAACCCGAATAACCGGACCGAAAATTCGGTGTCCGAAAAATTGGGTCCCAACTTAGATCGGTTCGGTTTCGGGTTATAGAATATACGAAACCGAAAGATCGGTTCGGTTCGGATATTTCCTATTTCGGTTCGGTTCCCGAACCGAATCCAGCCCTAGTTCTCACTTCTCCCCATTTGTTCTCAGATTCTGCAATTTTCAAGTAAGTTTCTCATCTGCCAATTTATGCCCATATTAATTATTTGCTCTCATCCCTAACGAAAAGTCAGAAATTATTTGTGTGAATCCTCAAATCTCAGTTCTAGATGCAATTTAATGCTATTTGTATAAGGAACATTTTTAATTCATACTTATTTTTGTTATATTTAGGAGTATGAGTTTGGATAAATTTGTAATTAAGACTAAGAGGTCTTTGATTGGAGGTGTTAGTTCTTCAATTGTTCCTAATCAGTCTATCTCTAGTGTTGAAAATGCCACTGCGTCAAATGAAAATATTGCTAGAGATGAGATGAATGAGAGGGACAAGAGAGCTCGAACAGAAAGTACACATGAATGAGATATTATTAGTGATCCATTTTTACGAAAACCAATTAATGAATATGCGCCGGGGATTAGGGATGATGTGATGAGAGCATATGTTGTTAAAGGTGCTTGTCAACCAGCATCTCATAAAATTTAAATTATTTATTAGTTGTTATTATTATTATCATTATTATTATTACTATTACTACTACTTTTTATTATTACCTTATTGTAGGTTATAGACCAGGTCAATCTAGAAATGGAGAATCGCTTTAGTGAGTCAAATACATATTTACTCGCTTGTTTAGCTTGCCTTGATCCTAAAGATAATTTTTCCAATTTCTGTGAGTCAAAGCTACTCAGTCTTGCGGAGTTATATTCATCTGATTTTCAGCTGTTGAGCAAATGGAGCTTAAAGAACAACTCCAAGTTTGGATATATGAGATGAGAGGAAATGAAGCATTTTCCACTTTACAAAGTATGGGTGAAGTGTCTAAGAAGATGGTTGAGCTTACAATTCACAAATCTTTTCACTTGGTCTATCGTCTTATTGAATTGGCTCTAGTGTTACCAGTTGCAACAACCACAGTTGAAAGAGCTTTCTCATCGATGAATATTATCAAGACAGATCTTCGCAATAAGATGAGAGATGACTATCTTACGGATTGTTTAGTATGCTACATCGAAAGAGACATTTTTCAAGCAATTGATAATGAAGCTATTATGCAGCATTTTCAAAATATGAAAACTCGTAGGATTGATTTGCCTATGTTACAGAAGTAAATCAAGTAGTATGTAATGAACTATAATTTTTTGTTAAATTATTACGCTATTGTTGTTCTTATTATATTTTGTACAAGAACTTTAAAATTTTTAGTCTTTGGTTTGCCCCTCCTTGGACAAACCTCTGCCTCCCCCACTGCCGTTAGGTACGTCACTGGAATGTCGATGAGCGGATCGAATCGGGGGCTCCGAGTAGAACTAGATGAAGCCGGCGAGCGTCGATATGACGACGAAGAAACCGCCACGAGGAAGAACATAGAAGAGGAAGGAACGCGAGACTCCACTCCTCGCGTTGATTGCCCCGGCGACCATCTCGGCGTGCGTTCTCGTCCTTACCTCATGAAAATTCTCGATAAGCAAGGTGCTTTTCTCAGAGCTTCCAATTGAATTTGTTTAAACATGGCCTACTGAAATTGGGTTCTGAAAAAGAAATTGAAACGCACGCTATTTATTACTCCGTAAAATGCTTGATTTTTAAGATTTGTCATGGCAGGATGGTTGAACGGTTGAAGCACGATGGTTCGGATTAATTGTGGTGTGAAGTTTTTAATTGATTCATGGATGAGAATTAAGCAATTCCTTTTTACTTCTACTTAAATTGCTGGAATGCTGGATATATGTTCATCTTTGTGAGAAATGAACGATCTCTATCTCAGTAGCTGCATGAAAAATGAATAATTACATCTTATGATTTCAAATTAATGTTTCAAGAGTTCAGAAAGTTGTGTGAAGATTTGTGTTTTATGCATTCAATCTGCAAATAAATAATAACTTACTCTGATAGTCTGATATGTAAAGGCTATGATATCATTTGCAGGGGACAAAAACATTGTTTTTGTAGATAAGGTTTTAAAGTTTACGAGTTCAGGGAAGATGAAGCAAAGAATTCTTATAATCACCGATTGTGCAATATACCTGGTAGACCCAGAAAGTGATGTTCTTAAGAGGCGGGTAGCCCTGGCAGCCGTAGACAAGCTCTGCTTGAGCAAACTAAGTGATCATTTCATTGCAATCATTATCCCAACTGAGTATGATATACTCCTCGCAAGCACTAGGAAGACTGAAATTCTATCATGCATAGTTGACACTACCAAGAGCGTATCTAACTATGATCTTGAAGTGTTTCACTCAAACAGGTAATTTATAAATAAATAGATATTCTGGTGCCTTTGTCGTGGTGATTATAAGGGCTAAATTTGTTTCCCTCATTTCATTTGTTTAGGACTAGTTTTTTTTGTATTGTTTATTGTTTTTAGGTTCGAGTATAATGCAACTGCTGAGAAAGTTAAAGGAGTCACATTTGAGGAAATTGAAGGTCAGTGATATCTTTTATCAAGCAAACATGGTGACAACAATTATCTGTGCTTCGCGTTTCATTATATTGATAATGAAGCATTTGATTTGTTTTTGGAGCAGGTTGTGTCAAAACAAGAATAGTGCAGAATGGTACAATGCATAAAACATGAGTTTGCAAGTACATATGGGAAATGCTTTTACGATGCCTTGTGGAAATTCATTCCCTGCCTTGTTTATGGTACTAATATACTTCATGGCTTCAAGATTCTTTCATATTGTTGATAATGCTTATTTATGGCTCACAAATAACCATATTATTGACACTTTTTTGTCATTTGACCACTAAATATGCAGATGCTTATGTTTTTTTTTAACTTTTAAGTATTCTTTTGAAGCTTTCTGATTTGAATATAACCATACATATTCATGTATGGGCATCATGGAGACATTGGCCATATAATATACTCCCTCCGTCCCATACAGAAGTTCCCGTTTCGATTTAAGATGTTTGACTGCCGATAAAGCAACTTAATCCCTATTCACACTTAGATTATTTTAATTTACATATTCAAAAACTACATTAAAAGTTTTACAAAGCTTGTGTTACGGATGCATTCTGGGGCAAACAATACAGCAGGCGACAGGGCCAAGAACGAGCCCAGAACGTTGCAGATTCATACTCGGACCGTGGGCCCAACTATATCGAGAAACAAAGTGGCTGAAAGAAAACTATTAATTAGTTATTACTATTATTCCTATTTCAGTTTTAGGCAACTTCCTATTTATACTATTATTCCTATTTCAGTTTTAGGCAACTGACTAATTGTTCTAGTATTCCTATTTTAGTTTTAGGCAACTGCCTAATTATTAATTGCCTTAGGACTCTTGTATCAGCCTCTATATAAGGGTCATCATTATTATCAATAAAGGAACTTTTGGAAGAATTAATTTTGTGTCTTGACTAGGTCGGACATCAATTTAATTCCTGCTTAAGATTTCAATTCTTCAGAAGTCATAGATTCTTTCCCAGTCAATTACCTTCCCTCTGAATTACAGAAACACTCTCGTCCCTGGACGAGATCATTAACGCAGGTTCTTAACAATTTGGTATCGGATTCTTGGAGGATGGGCAACGATGCAGCAGGAGCCGAGGCATTGAAACACATGATTGAGGGCATGGACCAACGCCAGCTGACTGTGGAACACCAGCTGGCCGACCTGCAGGAGTGTGTCGCTAAATTGGCAGAATTACCAGCAGCGATGGCCCCCGCCTTGTCCGCCTCTGTCCAGAAACTGATCGCAGATTCCTCCTCAGTATCTCCCCGCTTTGCTCGACAACACGAACGAGACTACCGACGGCAGGATCATGATGACTTGGTGTTCCACATTTTTCCAAGCTTGATTTTCCACAATATGACGGTAAGAGCGACCCTTTGTCATGGCTTAAACGTTGTGAAAGTTTCTTTGTTCACCAGCGTACACCGGCGCAAGCTCGTGTGGGTCTCGCAACGTTTCACATGACTGGGACAGCCCAGCTCTGGGCTGATCAGCTTGATCCCAGTGCTACTGACATCACCTGGACCGAGTTCTATACTAAGTGTACTAAACGCTTTGGACCGCCCTGTGGTGCCAATCCTGAAGGGGACCTTGCCAAACTCACCCAAACACATGATGTCGAAACTTATATTGAGTTGTTTCAACAGTTGCTTGCCCGCACAGTTGGCATCTCTGTGCGCATGCAAGTTAAAATCTTCACAGCGGGATTACGTGAATCGTTGCGCAGACTTGCGCTTGGAGGTTGAGTACCAGAATCCAGTTGATCTTGATTCGGCAATGATGTTGGCCCGTACTGTGAACCGCAAGTATGAACACCCGGAGACCAAATCTCGTTCCACTCTTTTGGTTCCATCTGCACAGTACACGCGGCCACCGACATCGAATATGCCTGATCCATCCTTAAATCGACGGCAATCCACACCGGGGTTTAAAAAGATCTCCCGTGCTGAGGCTGCCATACGCCGGGAAAAAGGTTTGTGTTATAACTGTGACGATCCGTGGATTCCAGGTCACCGTTGTTAACGACTTTTTTTTATTGAGATTCTGGATGAGGAATCCTTAGAGGAGCCAGATGAATATACAACCAGTGCTGAGCCATCCCTGTCTATCTTGGCTATGACCGGGTTCGGATCTTCATCCACCATGCAACTTTCAGCACGTCTCTATGACCGTTCCATCATTATCTTGGTAGATTCGGGCAGCACTCATAACTTCCTGCACCAACGGTTACTTCCAACCACGGCGGTCCTATCTCAGGTTGGCAGTGCACTCCATGTACTTGTCGCTAATGGTGACCGTGTTTCCATAATGGGTTCCTGCTCCAATCTCCCTTTTGAAGTCGATGGCAGACAATTCTCAGCAGATGTTTATGTCCTTCCACTGGCCGGGTTCGATATGATCCTTGGTGTTCAATGGCTCCGTGGTTTAGGTTCCATCGTGTGGGACTTTGAGCAGCTCTCCATGCGTTTCCAGTGGCAGGGCCATCGAGTAGAATGGTGTGGACGTAGGTCACTCCATTCATGCCCACATGGCTGTTACCTCGCAGATGGAGACCCCGTCTCTGGATACAATGCTGAACAGTTTCTGTGACCTCTTTCAAGAACCCACCAGTCTCCCGCCTCATCGAACTCATGATCACCGTATTACTTTATTGCCGGGCTCAGGTCCCGTGGTGGTTCGACCATACCGATATCCTTATTTCCAGAAGGATGAAATTGAAAAACAATGTTCTGAGATGTTACAACAGGGGATAATCCAGCATAGTCGCTCTCCATTCTCATCCCCAGTTTTATTAGTCAAGAAGCCAGACGACACATGGCGTTTTTGTGTGGACTGTAGGGAACTGAATGCCAAGACCGTTAAAGATAAATTCCCTATTCTCGTGATTGATGAACTGTTAGATGAACTCCATGGCGCCAAATTCTTCACCAAGCTGGACCTCCGCTCTGGTTATCACCAAATCCGCATGGATCCTAATGATGTCGAAAAAACAGCATTCCGAACCCACCATGGTCACTTTGAGTTCCTTGTGATGCCTTTTGGGTTATCTAACGCTCCATCTACGTTCCAGAGCCTTATGAACGACATCTTTGGGCCTTACTTGCGCAAATTCGTATCAGTTTTCTTTGATGACATCTTGATCTATAGTAAGTCATGGGTTGAACATGTCCATCACGTTCACCTTGTTTTTGAGATTTTATGCACTCACGGATTGTTTCTCAAACATTCCAAGTGTAGTTTTGGATCCTCGCAAGTTAACAACTTGGGACATGTGATTCATGGTCAAGGAGTTGAGGTTGATAAATCCAAGATTCGTGTGGTTCTTGACTGGCCTACCCCAAGCACCGTAACTGCCTTGCGTGGTTTTTTGGGTGTTGCGGGCTATTACCGCAAATTCATACAAGGATACGGAGAAATTGCAAGACCACTCACCCAACTTCTCCAGAAAAATGCCTTTGTTTGGTCCCCAGCAGCAGCCACCGCCTTCACTGACCTCAAGCAGCGTTTGTCTTCAGCCCCAGTATTGCAACTTCCAGATTTCACAAGAGAATTTGTTGTAGAGTGTGATGCCTCTAGTAGTGGATTTGGGGCCGTCTTGCAGCAAGAGGGTCATCCCATTGCATATTTTAGTCGGCAGATTGCTGCCCGCCATTCGAAACTTGCGGCTTATCAGCGGGAACTAATCGGTCTGGCGAAGGCAATCACCCATTGGCGGCCCTATCTTTGGGGCAGAGAGTTTCTAATTAAGACTGATCATTCGAGTCTTAAATATCTGTTTGAACAACGCCTCACTACATCACCACAACAACACTGGCTAAGCAAGCTTATGGGCTTCACTTTCCGGATCGAGTACAAACCAGGACGCTTAAATGTGGTTGCAGATGCACTGTCTCGCCGAGATGAACCTATAACGTTAGCAGCCGTCTCCATTCCATATACAACTATCATGGAGGACATACGCCTTGAGCATGCCACGTCACTTGAAATCAAGGCTTTATGTGAACAATTGACGGCTGGGGTCCTCGACGATGACTGGGCATATCGTGATGGCTTTCTCTACTTCCGCCATAAGATTTTTCTCCATTCTACCTCATCCCTCATTACCACGTTGATTATGGTGTTTCATGAGATGACCCATGAAGGTGTGGAAAAGACACTACAACGGTTGCGCCGAGAATTCTATTGGCCCAAAATGAAGCTAACGGTGAGTCAGTTTGTCAAGGATTGCCTCACATGCCAACGCCATAAATGGTTAACATTACAACCATCAGGGTTGCTTCAGCCGTTACCCATTCCACAACAAGTTTGGGTCGACATTTCCATGGACTTCATTGAGGGACTGCCAAAAGTTCGGGGCAAAACAGTCATTTTTGTGGTTGTGGATCGTCTCACAAAAGCTGCCCACTTTATACCACTGGCTCATCCATACACGGCTGTTTCAGTGGCCAGTGTCTTCTTTTCTGAAATTTTTCGGCTGCATGGACTCCCTGAATCTATTGTTTCTGACCGTGACAAAGTTTTCGTTAGTCAATTTTGGCGAGAACTTTTCCGTTTGAGTGGCACTAAACTGACTTTTTCTTCAACTTATCATCCCCAGACGGATGGCCAAACGGAGGTAGTTAATCGCACATTGGAAACTTTTCTACGCTGTCTCACAAGTGACTGCCCCAGGGAGTGGGTTCGCTGGTTACCTTGGGCAGAATTCTGCTATAACACTTCCTTTCACTGCAATTTAGGAGATACTCCATTTCGTCTCGTCTATGGGAGAGATCCACCGAAGTTAATCTCTTATACTCCAGGAACAGCAAAATTGGAGGGAGTGGAACAAGAGTTAATCAACCGTGATGCTTTTTTATCTTCAACTCGACGTCATTTGACCATTGCCCAAGCTCGTATGAAATCTCAATATGACAAAAATCATAGGGAGGTTACCTTTGAACCCAATGATTGGTTTTGGCTGCGGGTTCATCCTTACCGACAACTCTCCATGTGTTCTCGTCACCATAAACTACTTCCCAAATTCTATGGTCCATTCCAAGTGGCTGCTCGCATCGGCAAGGCCGCTTATCAGCTTTCTTTACCTGAGGCAAGTTAAAATTCATAACGTCTTTCATGTTTCCCTCTTAAAGAAGCATCACGGTCCTTCCCCCGAGCAAATGGGACCTCTGCCTCCTTTACTAGAACAACCAACAACCTTGCAACCACTAGCCATACTTCGCAGACACCTTAATAGGGATGTGCCAGAGGTACTTGTTCACTGGATGGAACAGTTGGCCGAGGAAGCCACCTGGGAGACCTTGGAGTCCTTTACTGCTGCATTTCCAAGGTTTGAGCTTGCGGACAAGCTCGAAGTCAATGAGGGGGGTATTGTTACGGATGCATTCTGGGGCAAACAATACAGCAGGCGACAGGGCCAAGAACGAGCCCAGAACGTTGCAGATTCATACTCGGACCGTGGGCCCAACTATATCGAGAAACAAAGTGGTTGAAAGAAAACTATTAATGAGTTATTACTATTATTCCTATTTCAGTTTTAGGCAACTTCCTATTTATACTATTATTCCTATTTCAGTTTTAGGCAACTGACTAATTGTTCTAGTATTCCTATTTTAGTTTTAGGCAACTGCCTGATTATTAATTGCCTTAGGACTCTTGTATCAGCCTCTATATAAGGGTCATCATTATTATCAATAAAGGAACTTTTGGAAGAATTAATTTTGTGTGTCTTGACTAGTTCAGACATCAATTTAATTCCTGCTTAAGATTTCAATTCTTTAGAAGTCATAGATTCCTTCCCAGTCAATTACCTTCCCTCTGAATTACAGAAACACTCTCGTCCCTGGATGAGATCATTAACGCAGGTTCTTAACAGCTTGATCAAGAAAATTTTAGTTTGATAAAGTTTGATATATAAAGCAAAGGATTAAGAGTGATTTAAGTTGACCATGTGAATAGTGAATGGAACTTCATTTTGGGATGGAGGTAGTATATTTTATCTGTCCCCAAAAAATTTGTCCACGTTAATCTGCCCTGAGATTTAAAAAAGTGAAAAGTGTATTGATGAGTTTTATTTAAAAGAGAGAATTATTAAGATAGTAGGAAAATCAATTTATGGACAAATGGAGTATTTGGATTCGAACAAATAGTTAAGTTTGTTGTTTAATATAGGGTTGGATTCGGTTCGGGTTCCGAACTGATCCAATGAATCTTGGGACCGAACCAAAATATCAGTTATCCTAATTATCAAACCCGAAACCGAACCTTTCATAGAATGGGTACTGATATTTCAGGACCAATTTTTCGGGTCACAAACCGATTATTTCATTAAAAAATACTTCGTATAAATTTGAGCTAGTATTCAATGCATTAAGCCCATTATATTTGGCTAGATTCAATGTAGGGCTGGATTCGGTTCGGTTCCCGAACCGAAATGGGAAATATCCGAACCGAACCGATCTTTCGGTTTCTTATATTTCATAAACCGAAACCGAACCAAACTTTGTTGGGACCCAATATTTCGGAAACCGAATTTTCGGTCCGGTTTTCGGTTTTTGTGAAAAAATCACATGGATATTCAATCTTTGTATATTCAATAGCTAGTATTCATCCTCAGGCTTTACTAGCAACTTGATCGTTTGTATCTACGATGGGGCGAATATATAGGCTCATACGAGGACTAAATCCTCTATTCCATCCGGTGTGGGATGAGTTATGTACATTGAAGAAAAACTAAATGGAAGAGTTGGGGCGGAAAGAAAGCAAAAATCAAGGGAACTAGTCGATGGAGGGATTCGAACCTGGGTGAAATGGAAGAGTTGGCGCGTCACTAGTTCCCGCTGAGCTACTTCGGATTCTTGCTACTTAGGGACGCTACATGTATTTAATACATTAAAGTGATACAGATTAAATAAAATCATTAAAACTATTACTAGTATTAAATAAAAAAATCGGTTCGGTTCGGTTTGAACCGATTTTCAATCTCAAAGAACCGGTTCCGAACCAATTTTTATTCGGGTCCCAACTTTCGGGTCCCATTAAAGTCGGTTCGGTTTCGAATCGGTTTTTTTATCGCTTGGTTCGGTTTTTTTTCGGTTCGGTTTTCGGTTTTTCGGTTGAAAATGTCAGCCCTAATTCAATGGACTTGAATCACAGCGGACTCCCTTACTGTAAGCCACCAGGTGCTGATAGATTCTCCAGCCATGGGAGTCCTATCAGGTAGCACACTGCTGTGGGCAGTTTGTGCTCCACATTTCATAATTGGATTCAAACAGATCTGTACTTGGTGATGAGGCTAACAGCTGCAGGAAGCCATAGTGGACCAGTATAGGAACATGCCAATGAATCAGAACTGGGAGCTACTAGTGACATGTGGAAGGTGGGGTCAAATAGGAGTGCTATTGTGGAGATGCTCTCACAAAGACGCTTATTCAAGTCAGGGCCCGTAGGAGAGCAATCTTTGACTTACCAGTCAGCTCAGTAATATCATAGATAGCAAAGACATGCTGATCTCGAGGTTGAGAGCGATGCTTTAAGACTGAGAGTGATTTCAAGTACTCGTGAAAGCATGGCATTTGTTTTTGCCAAGCTAAGCCTCGCCAAGTTTGACATTTCTGTTCATCGTACTGAACTTGAAAAATGCACAAGCCTTTTAATTTCATATGAGATAGATCATGGTATTTCCATTATTTGCAATGGAGCAAAAGATTCATTATTTTTCGGCTTGAGAATATGGTGGAATAAAGTAAAATGTCTCACTAAACTGTAGCAGTAGTCAGTCCATGTATTTTTCGACGTGATTTAATTTTTACTATGGGTCATTCAAAAACAGTCTCTTTGTGCTTTAGTACAGGGGTAAGAATGCGTACATCCGACCCCCCTTACCCCGACATAGGTGAGAGCCTTTGCGGCACTGGGGTGATGATGATGCTGCTGCTGCTGATGATGAGATAGATCATGGTGGTAGCTGATGTAGACGTTCCCAAAATTTTGTTTCTCTAGTTCGACTCAGGTGGATGGTAAGGCAGCAGTAACAAATTGATCTTCAGGAACATCACTTTTTCTTGCCACAAGTGATATATGTTCTGTAGAGTAAATCATCTGGGATGATAAAGGGAAGGCAGCAGTAACAAATTGATCTTCAGGAACATCACTTTTTCTTGCCACAAGTGATATATGTTCTGTAGAGTAAATCATCTGGGATGATAAAGGGAAAGCTTTGTGACTTTATCTTGAGATGTGATTGTTGGTGGACATGAGACCAAGCAAAGCAAATGCATCCTAATTATGATGAGGGCATGATCCTAGTTAAGTTCTATGATGAAGGTAGAGGGGTCCAAAATATTGACAGATCACCCTGTGATTGAGGACACAGTAGGAGAATAAGTGTGGAGGTGGATGTAGTTTTGGATCTTTTAGAGGACAGTGATGGTAAGGCGATCTTCTAGAATCTAGGGGATGGGGGGGGGGGGGGGGGGGGTGATGAGATTTTGTCCGATGTGAGTGAGGACAGATGATCCAATCCATCTGTTCTATAAAAAGAATAAGTCTAGGAGAAAGATAGATGATCTAAATCCATCCGTTTTAGCCAAATAATTCAAACGCTAATTAACTCATGCTTTTAACATTTTTTTTTTAAATGTTCATAAAAAACTTTAAATGTTCTGGGGCGAGTGATTCACTTAAAAAAAATACTAAGCTTTAATAGTTTAATTACCTATCTTAATTTCACTTGCATTTTGAGATTTATTAAGCTTTAAACTATAATGTATAGTGACTAGTTTAATTTCTTGTGACTTTGTGGTGCTACCTTTTTTGTTTAGGGATGAAGATGTCTATGGGTGGGGGTAGGGGGTCAACCGGGTCCTTACCTACCCCAATTTGAAAAGTCCTTGTATTTTAGTGTAAAAGTTTACGTGTAAAATTTATCTATAAAAAATCTATCTATAAAAAATCTTTGTATTTGCCCATCTTAACCTTCGATCCCGGCTATGCCCTTGAAGATGTGTAATTTTCTACATTTCAAAATTTGGTGTTATATTATTTGTGTGGTGTGTTATGTACAACCTTCGTCCCTTAAAACTTGGTCAAGTTTGACCGGCACAAAGATTAATAAACTAAAAAATGTGTGGTTGAAGTTTGTGCAAATGACGAAGGGAGTAGTATTTAATTTTTAGATTTGTGGTTAGATATCTTGCTAACTAATTCAAAGCTTTATTATACGGAGTATATTTATATTGTGAATTTTACCATGTTATGGTGACATTGATGTGAAAAGGTTATTACTACCTCCGTCCCGGTGGACTTTGTCAAGTGCAAAGTAGGTGATAAATAAGAAAAGTAAAAACTGTGTGGTTGAGATTTGTGCAGAAGAGAACTGACAAGTGACAAATTTTTTTGGAACAACTAAAAAGGAAAAGTTTGCAAAGTTCAACGGGGACGGAGGGAGTATTACTTATTAGACACTCCATACTTTGTAGTGGGATGGTATTTTTTACAAAATATAAACATCGAGAACTCGAATTGAATCTACCCGTTAAATGGGACTGACGATTATTGAAAATTTATCAATCACACCCCTAATACTATGTTTATATTTTTAAAACGGTACACGGACGAGTCCATAACTGACAAGTAGAGTATGGAAACACAACCGCTAGATTAATTAATTTATTAATTAAAAAAAACTAATTACGAGAACAAATTAATGACTTACAATACGTACCCATAGTTAACATCGTTTAATTAAATAATTAATCTATATTTCCTCAAAAAAAAAAATCTATAAGAGTCAATACTCAATAGCATATATGCTCACGTACATCGGTAAATAGTAAGTGTGTGTGTGTGTATATATATATATATAAGAGATCAAATACAAATCATGATTAAAATACTAACCTACAAATTCAATAATATGCATCACTTTAAACTTCAATATGCAGTAAAAATAATGTAAAGATGCAGGGGTGTGATCACATACAAACTAGTCCTCTCATTCAAATCATCTTTACATTATTTATATTGCGCATTGAAGTTCAAAGTGTTTCATATTATTCAAGCCATAAAATAGCGGTTTCATATTTACATTATTTGTATTGCATATTGAAATTCAAAGAGTGCATCTTTACATTATATGTACTGTATATTGAAGTTCAAAGTGTTGCATGGTTTGTAGGTTAGTAAGTTGAGCATGATTTGTATGTGATCTCACCCCTATATATATATATATATATATATATATATATATATATATATATATATATATATATATATATATATATATAAAAATATATATATATATATATATAGGGAGCGGTTACGGTAAGAATGAACTCGCAGGAGAGAAATAAGAACGAATTTGGACCGTTGGATTGTATTATGTGGAACGGAAATGTGCATTTGATTAAACTGAAATGTGTATTACATGATACTGAAATGTGCAGAATAAAAATTTAAACCCAATTGTGCATTAGGTGAAACTGAAATGTACAAAAATAAAATCAAATCGTACCTTTTATTACGCACATTTTAATTTTACCTAGTGCACATTTCAATTTCACCTAATGCACAATTTAATCATACGCTTTGTGTTGCACATTTCAATTCCACCTAATGCACATTACAGTTTCATCTAATGCACATTGAATTTTACTTAAAACAAATCTAACGGTCCAGATTCATTCTCATTTCTCTCCTAAGATCATGTTCTTATTTGAACCAAAACCTATATATATATATATATATATATATATATATATATATATATATATATATATATATATATATATATATATATATATAGTACGGAGTATAATATACAGATTACGCAAACTTTCCAAATTAAATACAGAGTATTACTTTGATATACATATAATTAATTGAACTACCTATTTAGGAGGGGATAAGACAAAGATAGATTAATGTAGGATACTGAAGGCGTACCTCATTTAAAAGTAGTTTAATTTGGGAAATAAAATAAATTAGAGCAATTGAGGTAGGCCATGTGGAGGTATCTAAAAGATGATAATGCACAATTTTTGTTAGTAACCTCTGCATCCCATGAAATCGCATAAATTATCTTTTCAACCTAAACTGTTAATAAGTACTTGTACATAACTACATTGTCTACCTGATTTTAAGAGAAAATTGCTCCTATACAACTAAAATCATATGTACTTTGTATTTCTTAGTAGAATGACTGAATGACATACTGCATGTATGCATATTATGCATCATTTTATATTTTCATTTCGTTCCACATGTGTCTGGTCATATTTTGAGAATTAACATCTATTCAAAATCTTATGTGCCTAGCGGGTTTCGAACTCGAGACCTCCCACTAGACACTTCTCCGTAAATAAACCTGCTTCATTTGATAAATTTGTTACATGTACCATGTCATGTTCTTCAGTTCTTGTCCACGATCTTTATTTTTTTTATTATATACAAGTAACTCTTAATAATTTTCTTTTCATTTATGTTCCCTTTTTTCCTTCGTGGTTTATATATTAGAGTTGCAGTTTTATCATTGTTTTAATTTTGGATCTAAAAAATACGATTTGATTCTCATGAGATAAAGGCTTTGAAGATATATATACTGCTAATTAATCCATGCACGTTACAGAGGACATAAAATCAAGAACAAAAATATAACGACCATATATAGCATGCACGTAGTACTCGTACTATATTTAAGTGCAAAGATCTTCTGATCTCAATAATGTATTAGTATTAAATTTTATAGTGAAGATTAATTACCATAACAACTCCTTAGTCATTATTATGCATGCGAGGGATTCCATTATATATTAACAAATTCCCTAAACTTCTTCATACCATTTTCCATTTCCCATAATCTAAAATTAAAAGAAAAGTTTGTGAAAGTTTAAAAGTTAGAAAGATAGAGAGATCTTTACACGACCAAAATTCAAAACCATGAGAGCCTCTTCCGAGCAAAACATAGCTAGCCGCCATGACCACCCCCTACGAGTGTTGATGTTTCCATGGCTTGGCTATGGCCATATCTCCCCATTCTTGGAATTGGCTAAGAAGCTTAGCTTTAGAGGCTTTAAGGTTTTCATATGTTCCACCCCTGCAACCCTAGAACCCGTTAAGAAGAAACTTTTCAACGAAAATGACAACGACAATGACGATGACTACGTTTTCGTCTCATACGATGTGAGTTTCTTGGACCTTACGCTTCCTTCTTCCCCCGACCTTCCTCCCCAATACCACACCACAAATGGCCTCCCTCCTCACCTCATGCCCCTTCTCAAGGAGGCATTTGACGCTTCCCGCCCCGCCTTCGCTCAACTACTCCGTGACATCGAACCCGACCTCCTCATCTACGACTTCCTCCAGCCGTGGGCACCGCTAGAGGCGGCGGGACTCAACATCCCCGCCGTGGAGTTCATCAGCAGTAGCTCCTCCATGACTTCCTACATGGTCCAACAGTTCAAACAGCCAGGTGTTGAGTATCCCTTCCCTTTGATCCGTTATCGAGACTATGAACTCGCTCTGATAGCCAAAGAAAATGCCTCGACCCCACCCGAAAGGCGGGAGAGGGACAAAAGGCGCGTGAGAGAGTGCTTCGCACGCTCTTGCGGTCTTGTTCTGATCAAGACCTTCGATGAGATCGAAGGGAAGTATAGTGATTTCATCACTACTTTGACCGGGAAGAAAATCGTCCCGGTCGGACCCTTGGTCCAAGAACCTAGTAGAGAAGATGGGAAATCCGAAGTGATTCAATGGCTGAACGGAAAGGAAGAAAAGTCAACTGTATTTGTTTCTTTCGGAAGTGAGTACTTCTTGACCATAGAAGATTTGACCGAGATTGCCCATGGGTTGGACCTTGTCAGTACCTACGTTAACTTCGTGTGGGTTTTAAGGTTTGTCTTTTTCTAATGAATTTTACGTATTATTAAATTAAATTCAAATGATAAAAGCATGACTTATTTTAAAAAAAATCAAAAAGGTGACATATTTAGTGACTAGTTTTCAATGACTCATTCTAAAATGTATTGTAATGACTAGTCTAATTAATGGTACACAATGACTAGTAATATTTATGTCCAAAAACTATATTTTTGTCCCGAGAAACTCTATAAGTAATATTTATGTCATTTTTCTAAAGGTTTCCTAAGGGAGAAGACCATGGCGATCTCAAAGAAGTCTTACCCGAGGGGTTTTTCGAGAGGGTTGGGGAGAGGGGTTTGGTGGTCAAGGGGTGGGCCCCACAGGCAAAGATCTTGGAGCATCCGAGCGTCGGAGGGTTCGTCAGCCACTGCGGTTGGAGCTCCGTCATGGAGGGCATGAAATACGGCGTGCCGATAATCGCCATGCCCATGCATATTGACCAGCCGGTGAACGCCAAGCTGGCAGCGGAGGTGGGGGTGGCGGCCGAAGTTATTCGGGACGGTGAGGGGAAGCATCACCGGGAGAAAATAGCAGCCGTGATTAAAGCGGTCTTAAGGGAGGAGGGCGGCAAAGCCGTGAGGGCAAAGGCGGCGGCAATGCGTGAAATGCTGGCGGAGAAAGGGGATGAGGAGATCGATAGGGTGGCTGAAGAGTTGAAGAATCTTTGTGCCAAGGAAGAACATGATTTTACTCCCTTCTTCTAGTTGACTTTTTCTTCTTTTCTTGATTTAGTAAGTTCGAAATATATTTATATAATATAGAGCATATATACTTCGTACTAAAATTATTTAAAATGTTAAGTACGGAGTATTTGGTTGCTACAAGTACATTTTAATTTAGCCGCTCACTGCTGCGTTTGCCTTTTTTAAAAGCACGCAGACAATGTGTAGTAGGCAACGTTTAATTTTCCACATCGTTTCTTCGGAATTTGTTTTAGAAATGATATGATTTAGATGAACGTTTATATTGTAATTTAATTTCTCGCACTTTTATAACCTTTATTTTGAATTACATTATGCAAAGAATTGGATAAAAAGGAAATTAAATAAATTTTCTTTAAAATAGATAGATTATATGGTACTCATAAAGTATCATACCTTTGTCCACATGAACCAATGAAAATGTTGTAGTTGAATTATTTAAAGGTGACAACTCTCATACCATTTAAAAAATGGGGTACCGTACCCACCACTCACTTGATTGGTTCAAATCATTACACCATTTTTAATTTAGATTTAAATAATTCAACTACGTCGTTCTGATTGGTCCATGTGGACAACGGTATGGTACCTTAATGGTACCATAGAATCTACTTTATTTAAATCTAAATTAAAAATGATATAGTGATGTAGACCAATCAAGTCAATGATAGGTACGGTATGCCATTTTTTAAATATAATTGATGGAGTATATGGGTCTGAGCCCCCGGACCCACATACTCGGAAGAACAGAAAGCACAAGACACAGAGTGGCGCCCTCGTCGGCCAAGGGATCCCCGTCGGCCGAAAAGGTGCCAACTCAGATTATGGTCCTGAAGCCAAGGAACCCGGGTGCCCTCGTCGACCGCGCCCTAGTCAGCCGTGCCCTTGTCGGCCACGCCCCTCGTCGGCCACGAAGACTCCACAGAACCGGATTCTACACTTACTCATTTGTACAGCCCATTAGTGGCTTTGTATTCGGCCCAGTAGCGGTCCAGTTGTAAATGGGCCTCCCAGGCCCAAGCCTTGGGAGCCCAGCCCGTATTTTTTTGTAAATATAAAATGTTTAGTGGCAGAATTTAGCGACAGAAATTCCTTCACAAAACATAGTGGCCGATATATCCGCCACTGAATTCTGTCTATAATTTGTGACCGAAATAATATTCCGCCACTAAACATAATAGTGTCCAGATTTTAGTGACAGACACTCCGCCACAAATATTCGTCAGTAAGCCATTTTGTGGCGGAATTAGTGACGGATTTTCCGTCACTAAATTCCTTGAATTCTTGTAGTGTACTCCCCTTGGGAGTAGTTGTGGGGGTTCAGAATTCATTAATACCAAGCAAATATACTACTTCTCTCTCTAGCTCTCACCTCTCTCTAGATATATACTCTATCAATAATGATATTCATCATATTTAAGTTTTCATGGCCCAACAAATGTATCCCAAGTTCAAATGTAAACTAGCCAAAAGAAATGCCAAATAAATGTATACCAAGTTCATCCAAAAAAAGCAAAAACAATGAAAAAGTATAACATCACAACAATGGGCAATGGCTTCCTTTTACTGTGACGTGCATTAATTAATTTTAGGGCATCGTTTTGTCGAAGCAAATCCATCTTCACGACATTATCATTTAGAGATCTCAAAAATTAGTTCAAGGTTAAATTATTTTTTGGAGATCGCTTAATATATGGTATTAAGTTCATATATGTATACTACATTATACGTAGTATATCGTTAACAATTTAAGATTTGAGTTGACTATATGTCTATATTCAATACTACGTATAATATAATTATTGTAATTATATACGGAGTAATATGGGGTGACATATAGTTGTGACTTGTGAATTTGTGATGATTCGAAAATAATTGATCAGCCGTTTTTTTGGTACATCTTAATTACTACAGAGTACAAATCAGGGTCAGGGTTCAATAGTTTATCCAGAACAGGGCCTCCGGATTTATGGGGCCCTAAATTTTTTAAAAATGTATTAGTATTATATAGTAATATTATATATTAATACTAATCAGTAAAATAAAGTTAGCTAGTAGAGAAGAAAAATATATATCCATCATTTTTTCTTTAGTCCTTTTACTATGTTCATTTTCTTTTAATGAGTATGTATTTGATTTGAATATAAGTATTTGATTTATATAAATGTGAGGTCCTGATTATTCATTTTGAACCGGAGCCTCCAAATTAATACTATGTGATGACCAAACCGACTAACTCTGTATAACGATGTATTCATTCATTTTTTAATATTAATTCATCATATATACCTACGAATTAATACTTTTTATTTTTCTTAATGCTTAAACATACTCTTAATAGTTACGGTAGGTGTGTTGTGTGTATTATCGTTTCGGGGAATTTGACAGGGTATCTCATATTTTGGGCGATATCACAACATCTTCAATGATTCCTTCTAAAGACTTTCTTGCAATTTTTAAAAATATTAAAGCTAGTTACCTACTATTGAAATGCATCTGTCCTAGCTTGAGCAAACAAATTAGCAAATACAAGCTACTTGTTGTAAAGGAGAGAAGTTTGAATTAAATGATATAATTACCGATTATATTTATATACTTCCTCCGTCTCTTTTTAGTTGCAACAGTCAACATTTCACGTTTGCCAACACACTACTTTGACCGTCATTATATTTAATTCTGTATTAGTAAAAATAAAATAAAAATCAGATTATAAAACTTAGTAATGAGACGAATTTAACAATATTTTTCAAAAAAAATAATTCACATAGATTAATAAATAAAATGCAGTCAAAATAAAGTACATGAATAGTGTATATATTCCAATGTTGCAATTAATGTGATACGGAGGATAGTAGTACATTGCGTAATTGATATAGTACTACGTATATACCTCCTTTCCGCTAAAAAATTCCCATTGTAAAATGGCGCAAGTTATTAGTAAATAGATTCATTCAAAATGTGTATTTTCAAAATTGGTTGATTTGTGGGCTCTATTCAAGAGGCAAGCATTGTAGCTAAACATTGGACTATCACGTTGTTGGAAAAAGAATTAGCCATAAAAAACGGATGTGGCAAACAAAATTATAATGTGTATAGCTAGCCATTTTAGATGCTATTAGACCACACATTCCATTTTCAAAATAATTAATATTTGCCCACATTAGCCCAAAAATTGTGTGAAGAGTGAGCTACAACGTCAAATGATTTTATAGTGAAATGAGATGCATACATTAATAATTTTGAAAAGATGGTGCAAAATTAAGTATCACTCAAAAAATTGGATGCAAAATCAAATTCCACCTATCGTTTAATATTACAAAATTATAAAATATCCAAGAAAGTTGATTTAAAGAAAAGATATAATTAAATGGGGAGGGGTTCTTATGAGAACCTTTTTAAAATGAAAACTCATTTTAAAACAAGAACTTCTAATCTCTATCATTTATTTTTATAATCATTGGCTAATAATGACGAGGTGGCATTTTTGTAATTATTTAGGATTATTTGCAAAAAGCCTCATTTGAATTTAGTGTAAATATAAATATGATCATGTGTGAATCCTGGACTAATGATTGTAATGAATGAAAACTTGAGATTAAAAGTTTTGGAGTTCTCAATTTAGGACTTGCGTAATTATTATGTTTGATGATGCATATGAAGCATTAATGATGTTTTTAATTGAACATAAATTTTCTGATATGATTTGATCTAATCTATTTAATTCTTGTTTTGGTCTGAATTAGTCTAGTTTTAGTCTAGTCCGGTCCACTTTGTTTGAGTCTGGTATGATCTAGCATAATAAATGTATATTATATGTATAGAATTCTGATTTGGTCTCATAACGTCTAGTCTGGGATTTAAACAAATCCAAATAAAAAAATCGTAATACATCACTTTGTTTTTAAGAAACATTATTTTAATGTATTCAATTGACCCCATTTAAGTTTAACTAAATTGCAATTAAATTCAACTAAACTTTATTACTACCTCCGTCCCGGTAGACTTTGTCAAGTGCAAAGTAAGTGAGAAATAATAATAATAATAACTGTGTGGTTGTGATTTGTACAGAGAAAAGAGAAATATGCAGAACCACAAATTAATTGTTTTAATAGGAAAGTGACAAAATTTTTTAGGACAATCAAAAAGGGAAAGTTGACACAGTCCAATGAGACAAAGGAAGTAATATTGTATTACCCCGTATTATTGTTTAGAATACAATAATACAAAATAAATCGGGGTTAAGTTTTAGCATTATTTCAGTTTTTGTTAAATGTAATGAACAAAATTTCATCTATCAATCACTTCATTATATCGTACGACGTATTATACTGACTAATCATGATATATGAGGTACGTATGACATAAAAGGGACGAAGAAAATAAAGGAAAGAAATAAGGTCAACAGAATTAGGGGTTAACACCATCTTAATCACAAAAGTAAATATTTCTACATTTTAAGAATATCATATAGTACATCCGTTCTTTTTTAATTGCAACATTGGACTTTTTACTTTATTCACATATTCTACTTTGACTATATTTTATTAATTAATGTATTATAAATTAAATTTTTAAAACATATTGTTAAATTCTTCTCATTCTAAATTTTCAAAATATGAATTTTTTAAATTTTTTACTAATAAGGAAAGAAAGATATTAATGATCAAACTTGTGTGTTGGCAAACGTGAAATGTTGACTGTTGCAATTAAAAGGGAACGGAGGAAGTAGATAACAAATATTTTTTCATTCATCTACTAAATGAAAATTCAGAGTTACCAAACACAATTTTATTTTATTGTCAAATGACCCAATTGAATATTTTAATTTATTTTCAAACCACTGCAAGTCTGTAAATAACATATAATGTGTTGAATCCCCCGCTACACGGATATATTATTTCATGTCTAAATGTTTAAAATCTGTTTGGTAACACATATATATATATTATTGATAAAATTCTTATTGAATCGATTGAATCTGCTAAATTATAAAAAAAAAAAAATATTTTTTAATAATAAAATTAAGGAAAAGTTATATGAAAAAATAACTCAAATGATTCTCATTAATAATTTCAGTTAATTCAAATAGAAAAGTAACTTTTATTTACTTATTTTGGTTAAGACATTTTTTTTATCCTGGAAGGCAAACCACCAAAATCAGTGGGGCATATGCCGGGAGTCATATGCCGGGATTTTATTAAAGAAATAAATGAATTACAAAAGGAAGGGGACTAAGCCAAAACTTCCTTACAAAAATCATTAAAAACAAACAAGCTCTTAATAAGAGAATCTAAAATGAGGAAGACCAAAAAGATCTAAATAGAAAGCATTCTTGGCATGTGCTGGAAGAGAACGGGCCTGAGTAAAAATTAACTAGCCCAAAGATTAGCAAAATGATGCGCGACCCAGTTGGTCTCACGCAAAGTGCTCGAAAAGGAAACCCCCTTTCCTTCCGACATGAGTGAAACATCCCTAACTTGACAAGATAAGTTGAAAATTCAAGTTAATGAAACGGGCTATAAACATAACTAGAGCTATAAATGAAGGATTACGAACTAAGTTAAGTACTACATAGTATTATTAAAGATGGTTTGCTAAAAATATAGGCTAAAGGGTCAAATAGGTCCATGTACATATACGAATTGCTCATGAGACTGATAAGTTAAAAATACAAGTTACCAAACGGGCTATAAACATAACTAGAGCTATAAATGAAGGATTACGAACCAAGTTAAGTACTACATAGTATTATTAAAGATGGTTTGCTAAAAATATAGGCTAAAGGGTCAAATAGGCCCCTCTACATATACGAATTGCTCAATTCGCACACCGAACCAAAAAAAGCTCCGATCCAGTCCACCAACCAACTTAATTTGTTCAATCCCTACATTTACCCGGTTACCTCCCGTTTTCTCCCCTTAAAAGTACAGTCATCAACTTTTTCATCTCATAAAATGCTGACTCATTAGTTCATCCCATTAAAGACTTGTTTTGGTGGGGTGGGGGTGGGGTGGGAGGGATTTACGCTTCAAGTTCTTGGATTTGTTGAGGAGTGTGTCGGTGGTATCTTTTCCAGTTTTCCTTCTCGGAGGTTTGTCGTCGGCGACATCTTGATCATCTCCGGAAGCACCTTCCAAGTTGTCACTACCAGATTTGCTCTCGTGCTCTTCTTCTCTGCCTCTCTTCCCAAGACTGTTATGACCGCCGCTGCCATTGTTGCTCTCTTCAATTCTCGTCACCTCTCTTTGACCCTCCATTTCCATTTGCTTCCAAAACCCAAAAAACACCATTATTTGATCAGTATAAACACGGAAAACACAATCTACGATTCCTTTTCATCTCCATTTTTAATTAGTAAGAGATATAAAGAGAGGGGCAAAAGATGTACAAGACCAAGAGAGAGGCCCGGGGTGTTGAACACGGACTTAGCAAGAGAATGAGGAACAAGGCAAGAATGTGAGACTGGACCACCGTCCAAAGAACCGCCTCCATCTCCTCCGCCGAATCCATCAGAAAAGCTACTATCAAGAAACCCTCCGAAATTCATCGAAAACTGGAGAAAACGGGAGGTAATGAGTGAGATGAATTAATGAGTCAACATTTTATGAGATGAAAAACTTGTTGACTGGGCTTTTAAGGGGAGAAAACAGGAGGTAACCGGGTAAATGTAGGGATTGAACAAATTAAGCTGGTTGGTGGAACGGATCGGAGCTTTTTTTGGTTCGGGTGCGAATTGAGCAATTCATATACGTACAAGGGCCTATTTGACCCTTTAGCCAAAAATATATAGTTGTTTGAAATTCATTTTGAACCTAGCCAGGTCAGGTTTAAACTTTTATGTGCTTATGTCTATAGACTATAGGTTCAAGTGTTCAACATTTGAAATCGAGTCCATTTAACTTTATTTTCACATCATTGTAACAAGTAAACCATGACTCACAGTTTATAATGCAAGATACAAAACTATTATCACTTATCAGAACTGTTCATGTACACCCTTATATGAACTACAACAGAATTTGTGCATGACCACACTTTGATCGAGTTGTTCATGGGCCTAAATCAAACGAGCTTCTCATTGTCCAACACTCCAACCCTTGTTCACTTAACAGTCGAGCTCTAAAACAAGTCACATACAAACGCTAAACGAGTCTAAACACTAGTAGTCCACCATTCGTTTATGCCCCCTAGGTACTTTTGGTAGGTTGGTTGGTAGTTGGTACTACCCACCATTGATTTATCAGGGCATGCATGGGAGTAAAAAAGTTTTTTCACTACATGTTGGAGGTAAACATCTCTGTTGCAATATATGTGCCTAGAGAGGTACTGTTGTTTTTCTCTTCCTTTTGTATTAAGCCTAGACAGAAGGTGTTCCTTATGGGCCGCCAAGGATGGCATTTTCGATGTCTTCCCTACTGAGTGCATAGCTGAATCTTCTCTCCACATCTTTCTCCAGCCCTCCTGGTCCACTCTTAAGGTACCTTTCATAAAGGAACTAAAAATATGAGATTCTTTATTTCTTTTTAAACCATGGTCTCCCCCCACCCGTGTCACTCCAACCAATGGTACTTTATAGAAAACCCAATCGGTACTAGTATATTACAATAGACTAACCTTATGTATAGGTCTGTAATATCAAGAGATAACTGAGCGTGCCAATCGGGATTTTCCACAAACCAAACAGCTCTGTCTTCTTTGCTCTGGTAAAACCCTAAACTCCCGAGCCAGGCCTCTATGCAGGGCAAGCTATGAGCATAGAGAGCCTTCTGCTTCTCCGGCAGCTTCTGCAGCCACCCTTCCTCCTTTCCAGAGATCTCTGCTTCTTCAGACGAAGATTTGGAACATGACAGTGGTTTCCTCAGTAAGGAAGATGAAGTCCGAGGATGTGGTGAGAATTTAGTGAAAATTAAAGGGCCTTCTAAAGAATATTGGTAAAACGAAGATGGTGATGAAAAGGTTAAAGATACTGCTTTCTTGTTGTTTTTGCTGACAACCCTAATCAACAAGCAAAAATGGGTAAAAAAAATTATGTCAACAAAAAATATTGTCACTAAAATTTTGAAAAGATAGGATAAACAATAGAATATATATAGGGAGTGGTTCCAGTGAGAAAGGATTCTCAGAAGAGAAATGAGAATGAATCTGAACCGTTGGATTGTATTATGTAAAACTGAATTGTGCATTTTGTGAAATTGAAATGTACATTTGGTGAAATTGAAATGTGCAGAATCATATGTAAAACTCAAATGTGCATTACGTTAAATTGAAATGTGCATAATAAAAAGCATAAAAATGTCACCACATTGTAGCTTTTATTATGCACATTTAAGTTTCACCTAATGCACAATTAACTTTCACATAAACCACTGTGTTGTACCTTTTCTGCTGCACATTTTGTTTCACCTAATGCACATTTCACTTTCATCCAATGCACATTGAATTTCACAAAATACAATCCAACGGTCCAGATTCATTCTCATGTCTCTCCTAAGATCATTTTCTCACTTGAAGTTCAAAGTGGTGCATATTATTTGTATTGCATATTGAAGTTCAAAGTGTGCATCTTTACATTATTTGTACTACATATTGAAGTTCAAAGTGTTGCATATTATTGAGTTTGTAGGTTAGTATTTTAAGCATGGTTTGTATTTGATCTCTTATATATATATAGTCATTCTCCTGTCCAGCAAGTTTTGGTCTGAACGCCGTCCAAACACCACCGTTCGGGGTGGTTCCTGGTGGAATGTTTCAATAAAATTTTTATGATATGTTCTTCATCAAGTCTAGTTTATCCACAAAAAAATTTAGCTCAAAATTCAACAGGGAAGGTCGTCAAATAATTTTTGGAAGTTAACTGCGCAAAATTATACATAGAAAAACGCAGTCAACTTATATTTTTGTTAACAACCAATATGGTAATGTTTTCCTCAGATCTGTTGATGCATCAGATTGAGTTAAAGATGCAACATATATTTTTGAATTGCTCGACGGAGTAGTTGAGGAAATAGGAGAAAGTCTGGTAGTGCAAATCGTGACAGATAATGCAAGTGCATACAAAGCTGCTGGGAGACTTTTAATGGAGAAGAGGAAGCACTTGTATTGGACGCCATGTGTCGCCCATTGTATTGACCTCATGCTTGAGAAGATTGGAGAGCTGCCATAGAATAAAAATGTCTTGATCAAAGCTAAGAAGGTCACTAATTTTATCTATAATCGTGGATGGGTTTTGCAGCTTATGAGGAAGTTTATCGGGAAACACCTAGTTCGTCCAGGCCCCACGAGGTTTGCTACTGCTTTCTTGACTTTAGATTGTATGGCCACCGCAAAAGATCTCCTGCAAAGAATGTTTGTTTCTAAACAGTAGACTTCAAGTCGTTATGCAAAATTAGTTGAGGGGAAGGAGGTTAAAAAGATTGTGATGGATGACAAAACGTTTTGGCCTGGGGTTGCTTACTCAATAAAAACATCAAGGCCATTAGTTGAAGTGTTGAGGATTGTTGATGGTGATGAGCCTTCAATGGGATTCATCTACGGTGCTATGGATTCTGCAAAAGAAAAAATTGCAGAAAATTTTGGAAATCAATATTCCACTTATAGTGAGATTTGGAAGATAGTTGATGAGAAGTGGGAGCACCAACTGCATCGGGACTTGCATGCTGCAGCGTATTATTTGAATCCCAGATTCAAATGGGAGGATGACTTCTCTACTCATGTGGAGGTTAAGAAAGGTTTGTATGCTTGTGTGGAGAGGCTTATTTCTGATAGTAGTGATTTTAACCAAGCTGATGCACAAATGGATGAGTATCGATACAAGCGTGGACTTTTCGGAATGAGGGCGGCTCAAAATTCATATAAAACACGTCCCCCGGGTAAACATTAAACTACATCTTTAATATCTTTAATGTTTATACATAGTGTACTTGCGTATTGTTGTAAAACAGAATTTTTTTAATTCTTTAACATTTTTTAGTGGAATGGTGGGATCAATTTGGAGATCATATTCCAGAACTACGGGCTTTTGCGGTCAAAATTCTTGGCTTGACGTGTTCTTCCGCTTGTGAACGAAATTGGAGCACATTCAATCAAGTCCATACGAAGAGAAGGAATCGTCTTTCAGCCATTAAGTTGAATAGTTTGGTATTTATAATGTTCAACAAGAAGTTGAAGTTTAGGAAGAGCAGATTACAAAAGAAAGAGGATAATTTGATCTTCGATAATGTATCATCTGATGATGAGTGGATTGCTGAACCGAATGCAGATGATGGAGAAAGTGTGGATGCACGTGATGAACTTGCATTAGTTGTTGATGAAATGGACAACGAATTCAGAGGTTCATAACTTAATATTTTATTTTTTTGTCCCTTCAATATAATTATTTACAGTTTTACACTTAACTTCCATTCCGTTTCATTCTATTTTTGTGACTTTATGTGTGTAGGGGTGGACCTTACAGTTGGAACTGAAGAAGATAATGAGGCCCGTGAAAATGAAGGAGATGACAATGAGAATGACAATACTAATTTGGAAACTCATGAAGAGGACGATAGGCTTAGTTTTGAAGATTAATAGTTGCAATTTGTCAATTTGCAAACTTAAACTCCTAAACTTTTATTTTCTTGTCTTAGAATTTTAATGTTTTATGTTCTTTTGAGTTTTGACTTTGGTATTTCAGTTTTATATTATTTGGACTTGAATATTTTGTAGTTATGATATTATTACTTGTGATTTTGTTTAGCTATGTTATTGTTATGAATTATCTATACTTTCTAATATGTCATAGGCTTGTAGATACACTTAAGCAATTAAATTTTGGGGCTTACGCCTCGTTACGCCTCGAGGCTTAAGCCTCGGAAGGCTACCCCCGAACACCTCGAGGCCCGATTTCGCCTTTCAAAACCTTGATAATGTGATCTGCTATTTGTGAAATGTGTGACTAAACTGTAGTGTAAATCCCCCCCCCCCCCCCAGAAAAAATTCAAGATATGTCACTGCTTAGGAGAGTTATTATAAACAAACCTGCACTCCATCAATCCCCTCAATGGATAAATACTGGAGCAGTCTAATCTAAGGTGACTCAATGGCAGATAAGCAACCGAGCAACCATACGTATCCTGCATAAAAATTAGTACATATTGACATGTGTTTCAATATGAGCATACTCAATTTCACACACATTTGAATATGTGATTGCAACAAATATTACTAGCACTCTTGGAAAAGACTATAATTGAAAAAAATCCTTAGATGGTTGGATGACACACAAAAGATTTCATTTAAAACCCAACTACCTCGGACCATTAGACCAAAGAAAAAAACACCTGATAAATGAAATTGAACAAAAAGTACAAAAAAAGAAACAAGAACACTAAGGTTTGCCTAGTTAAACAATTCAGTTTACGTATCTCCATTCTCCACAAGACAGTCAACAATCTCCAAATTATCCACTATCAACAGTGTGATGAATCATTCCATATAACTTGTGTCTAATATCACAAATAAAAGATATTCCTTTTAATTTAACAAAAAAAAAACAGACCAAGTGTTTTGTCTTAATTTCAAGGGATGGAACTTTACTCCAAACCCAAACCTTAAGAACAAATAGAGAAATAAAGTCAACTCTCTCAAATTTTTCTCTCAAAAATGTTTTGTCTAAATTTTGGGAGCTAGAACTCAACACAAATGCTTCCATTTATAAAATGAAAAAGGTATTTGCTAAAATAATTGCACCATGAAAGAGCAAGAGAGTTTCTTCAATATGAATGATTCTTGGTTTGTTTTCAAACAACTTACCTTTATCATTCTTTTAAGTCACATATTAAGACTAAAGTAAGATCTTTTGAAAGCCCTAATACTTCAAAAAGGCTAAACAGGAAATATCTTATTCTCGTCATTACATGTCTTACCTACTCGGAACCAGTAAACTTTCATAGAAAACAACTTTCATTGATTATAACTGCTGAGATAATAAGGTCAGAGCTAGTACCTGTAACAGAGAAGGGCTCAATTGGGTTTGTTTCCTGGTTTCTTCCAAAGCAAAGTGAGCAAATCTTTTGTAAGTAGCAGCAGAGGTTCCTTCAGCCATTGATGGTCGCCTCATTTTACCGGTAATATTACTGCTGCAAGATTTTCTGCCAGATGGTTTGGTCGAAAAATAGGCACACGTGTTTCTAGGTTGCAAAGGAGCTGATGCTACAATACTCAGTGACGCGAAATGGTTCACACAATATCCCATAGAGGAAGCTAACTTCACCTGGGGTAAGAAAAAGGGTACATTGTTTGGAATTGGTACGGTATTTTCCAGGTTCAAGGGTAGACGTGACAAAAGCATGGTAAAAATTATTGATCAAGACAGAAGCAATTCCATTAATTTGATAAAATGTTTTGAATATAAGAACGTCAAATTCAAAATAAAATATCTAAGGCAACTTGGGAAAAAGTAGCACTAGGAACTTTCATATATTGAAACCGTTGTAACTTGTAAGATAGCCTTCGGTACATGGAAAACATTTTCTCTTGCTACTTTTTCTGTTAGCTGGATCAACTTCAAGATTTTTCACATTAATTTCAGCATGAGGATGCATGCGAAAACCTTCAGTAAAACTTTGATTAGATGAACTTTGAAGCACATTTTCTTTTGTTTGATTATATGATTGATGAATTTTTGTGAGTAACAAGAAGAGATATTTCAAAAATTCGTATCAACAAAATAATGAAAATAATAAAAAAAATAAGGAAAAGTGATCCGCATATGATTCACTAAGGAACGAATTAATATTCACAAACTCAACATCATAAATAAAACTCACAAAGTAAAAGATATTAACAAGCATACTTTTAATTCACAAATAGGCGAATAGCTCTTTTGAACTTGTAAACTTTCTATTCTGAATATTACTGGCCGTGGGGGAGACGGGGGAAGGGGGGGCCTTGGCCCTCAAGGAAAAAATGTTTAAATATCTGCACAAATACTATGCATCAAGAACAAATCTTAAAATGTCGAGCTTTGGCCCCAATATAATTTTTGCAAGCTCCAGGCCCCCTTAAAATACATTTCTCACTCCGAATTGCTGAGTAGGTAACAAAAAAAATCACTGTGTGCCAGACTTGAGGTATAGCTTTTAAAGTTTAGTTTTTTGTCGGTCGATATGAATTGTTCGATAAATCAATTCAAGATAAGGGTTATTAATTTTTAATTAACCATTTATTTTCGTTTAAATAGAAAACACCCGGTGAGTTCATAGCAGACAAACCAAATAAGTCGTCATTTGAATTTAGTAATTTCAGTTCAGCTTTGAGTTGAACCTGTACTGCTTCAAGATACTCTGGACGAAGCGCCTAAGTTTGATGATTGAAAAGCCGTCCTTCCCGAATCCGAAAACATGAAACGCTGGATTGCCGGCGTCGCCAGGTGGCCGCTGCCTGGAAACACGGAACTGCCGTTAGTCGCCTGCCTCACTGCCGCCGCTTGATCGTTCGCTGGTAGGCTCTTCTGTTCAAAAGTAATACGGACTTACGGAGTAATTCAAGAGCACTCACAAAAGTCGTTCCTCGAGTTCATTCGTTGAAGCTTCTTTTTATGACTGGACCCAGTTGCCTTAGGGATGAAAAATACACAAATGCTTGGCCTACACCATTTGGTGAACACGATTTTCACAAAATGGTGTACACCGATCACTTTTCTCGGAACAATAGTTTGAGATATCACACAAGCTAACATGACCTGATTGTGGCGGATTATTCTGTTCACTGGTTGGATTTGGTCAATCCGTTTAATAGTGGGCTAAACAATCTGGTCCGCGTGTAAAAGTAAATCAGTCCGGTGCGGTCCTATCCGATGTCAATGTAAGTACTACTACTACTACTACTAATAATAATAATAATAATAATAATAATAATAATAATAATTACCCTCAAATATATTACGGAGTATATTGGTAAGTACTAATACAGGAAATGTAAGAAACCAAAATATCAAACATTCAATATTTGTTAAATTTAATTACAAAATATTAAATACTAGTGATATCAGAATTCAGAAACTATAAGGTGGTATATAACAAAAGAACTCCAAATCATGACTACTAATTGCTTAAAACTATATTCAACTTTAGATATAATATACTTCGTATGTTCGAACAATTTATTTGAAAAGATATTATAGAAATAATAATTATTTTGTAATGGTTGTAAAATGACAAGTATATAATTGTAAAGATAATAAATTTGATGGTAAAAGAACAATATTGAAGATACTGGACGTCAAAACTATTAGTGTGAGCCAACTCACTTAACTTGCAATCCACTTGGGTTGACCCGCGAAATCTGTGAATTGATCGGGTCTGAAAATGGCAACCATAATCCATCAATAAATGGATTGAAATGGGTCAAGCTGCAGATTTCAACCCATTTTAATGGCTCCAAATCTTCAATAATATAGGTGAGCAAAAATGGATAAAGGGAGTAACAGTAATTTCCCAAATTCTCTTAAATTGGGGGACAAAGATTTTTTTAAAGAACCATACATGACTCATTTTATGAAGTTATATGGCTTATATGTCATCACTTTCAACATACATTTTTTTAATGTTTAATGGAGATACCACTAAAAAATGTATGGTGATCATGATGCCCACATAGGCCGTATGACTTCATAGAGACGGAGTCATATACTCCCTCCGATTCCAAAAGATCTTGACACTTTGACTTCATAATTTTTAAGGAAATAAATACGGATTGGCATTGTTTGGCAATGTTTGGCACTATTTTGTGTAGATTTATTTACCAAATAAGGCAAATAAGGAAGTGTAAAGATCTTTCTGGTACTGCTAATTGCTAAAAATGGAAAGTGTAAAGATCTTTCAGAACCGGAGAGAGTATGCCTCTTTAAAACCTCTCGATAGAGAATTCCTAACTTCCTCACCCTAAGAATGACCACTAGGTCCTAACATTGAGATCTTGTATATTTTTAGCCATACTCTCAATTGTCATTTCTCTATTACACTTTTAGTTAACGTGTCAATTACTTCATCTGTCCTAAAATAAACATTACACTTTTCTTTTCGATCTGTCCCTAAAAAATCTTATTTTCTTATTTAGTAAATAAAACAGTGCAAAACAGTGTCAAACAATGTTCAAATAGTGACAAACAATGACACTTTTGTAAAATGTGTGTAGGTCAAATAGGACCAACATTAGCTTTCATGTAATTTTCACTTTCATCATTCGCTGGTTTACACTTATAAAATTATAAATGTATTTCTCATGAAATGTTTCAGTGCATATTAACAATGTAAATAGCATTTAAAATAGTTTTAATCATTTCTTCAGTTTGTGTGAGCCAAAACTAGCGTTATATTTCCCTTGCTAAGGTCAATTTATAAATCGAATATGTTATTAATGCTTCATTTTCATGTCAAATTATACATTCATATAATAAGAAAACATAAACCTCTTCATAGACTATGTAGTACAATTTTTGTCGTATTAAGATTACAAGTTTACAACAACGTCTATGCTAGTTGATTACAATCATTGTGGGATAATAGTTTCCATCTGGAAATGCTTAAATAAATTGAACAGTTATCTCTTAAAGAGAAAAAAGAGCACAGGGGGGAGAGAGAAAAATATGGAAGCAGCCCAGCACACTTTCTACTTTAATATTGTATTACCAATGAATTCCCCTCTTGCATCCCACGGGCGGCTTTCGAATGATTTCCCAATCATACTACGCTTCTGATTTACAGTCCCGTCATCGCATTTGTACTCTGGGAAGTAATCGATGAACGTTTTGCTACTCAGTTCATCAACTCCATTAAAAAGAAAACTCCTAACTATTTCCTGTATATACACAATAGTCAAAACGTAGACTAAATACCACCAATTTAATTGTTGCCAAGGGAAGTAAGATACAGTACTTAATGATTGATCTTTAGCCATCAGATTATAATGATACCTTTGCAAGTGTCTCCCCAGTTAATCTTCTCAGAACTTGATGGCCAGGATCCTGAAATGTTCTCATTTTGATCACAAACTTTCATAGATGAAAATACATAGAGCTGTTCAAGGTTATAGTATAATTAAAAGTATGCACCAAGACTATTGTCTTTCATCCATAATGTAGCTTTGTCAATTTTTTTGAAATAAATATTAGAACTTGAGGAATAACCCCTAGTTTTTGGTTTTGGTTTTATATTTAGTCCATGTCAGACACTATTCAATATCCCTTCATGGTCAGACATGTACGGACTTACCCAGTCACACACCTTGTGTGTACTGTCGTTCTTTTTTTCATACAGCATACACCCCTCAATCCCTCATGACCAAACACCTTCATCAAGGTCTATGTATTTTTTTAAAATGTTGGGTTGTTAGTTTATAATTAGTCAATGTAAGGAAATACATTCTTCAAAATATCCAAATTGTCCCTCAAACGGACTGTAAACCTGCCTTTTCTGCCCTCCATGTGAGATACCGATGTTGTGCTTCAAGATTAACTATAACCTGAGAAACGTCAGTGTCCATTGATGCCTGGTCCATTAGCTGAAGCCATGACTATAAGACCGACGATGAAAGAAGTTAAAAAAGTCAAAACCAGGTCTAAGATTTAACCCATAGATTTACAGTTTTACACCCTAAATGAAAATGCTAAAAACCTATATATGTGCAATCCAGCATACTATGCCTGGAGTGATATGTACCTTGAGATAGTCCATGAAAGCAGAATATAAAAGATTCTGTCTCTGCTGGCTTGGAGGAAACTTGCTCCATATTACAATGGGTGAGAAAAATTTTAAAGATTCAGAAGTAATCTTTCCTCCCCATGGTAAAAGCTGCATGAAATCTGTGTTAAATGCCAGGCCATGACACTTTAGATGGTAGGAAAATAAATTATACCCAGACCATTTTCAAGCATGACCAGATTCCAGAAGTTTTGCTAACCTCAGCATACTCATGTCCGAGAGGAATTAAGTGCGTATAATATTTTCTCTTGTAATCCTGTTGACTGATTACATCGTGTAATGGATTGAGGTCCCTGAAAACGTTGAGAGCATAGTGAGCAAAACAAAATGTAGTATTATAAGATTGTGCCAACAAAAAAAATATAAAAATGCTTTTTGTAGAACCACTCAGTACAACACAGACAGCCTTCACGCAGACGAGATTTTTTTACTCACAGATAATTTAAAACAAAATACAATAAAAAGCACCACCTTGACACGGACAATACTTTTTTTTTCACATGCATGAAATCACACAATAAGATTTTCTCTGTGAAGGCTACACAAGTGTTGTACAAAAAATGGACGTACATTTTAAAAAAAAATAATAGTATCTGCACAACTTCTTTAAAAGAGGAAATGAAGTTGCTTTTACCAGCAAATGCAACTATCAAAGAAGGCATTTTAAAAAGAAATTCATTTTTGTTTACAAAAATAAAAAGGGGAGATTCTCTTTCCATTTCCATTGCACACGCACAGTCTGAGGGGAGGTGCATGGGGGACTAAACAGGCAGGCCCCAAGGGTAATGCAGTTGTGCTCATCAAGAGTTGAAATAGGGAGATGCAGCTTACAATAAAATGATATTATTGACTGATGTGGTAAAAAAGTTGGCACAAAAAATTGGAAGATCAATCTCTGCTCGGGGAAAAATAGCAAAATCCAAGACCTAGATAAGATGATCGTTTAGTCAGGCCATAAACTCAACCAAAACAATATCATCAAGTAACTAAATGAAGGGGAAATTCTATATAAACAAGAACCTTATAGAAGTGTGAAGTGTCTACTAAAGATCAAGACGCTAATTAACATAGCCTGTAAACGAACCTGCACTCCGTCACTACCTTCAATGGATAGACTTCGGAGTAGTCTAATCTTAGGTGACACAAAAGAGTGCATCTGGAGCTCCGCTTTGCCATCAATTGAAGACAAGTAACCAAACTTCTCCTGAATATAAATTAGTACATCATACTTGTTCTGGCACGGTGTTGCTATTAAAATGTACTTAACATAGATTCAGTACTCAATCAACAATTATCTTTCATACCAACTCTAGTTAACATATTAATCATTTTATTGTACACATAAGCAAACTTGACTTCCAACTAATCCAGGCCTACTCCACTAAGGCACAAACACATAAAACAAAGAAAAAGCAGAAAAAAGGTGTCAAAATTGTTATGGATATATATTAGTTTAAATAAGGAAAATTCCTGGTTAGTTGAATGAGTCGCATACTTTCTCAATTCTCATTAAAAATCCAAATACCGCAATCTTAGTATTCAATTTTTTCGTATAATATAAGATCATACAAAGACCACCAGACAACTGAAATCGAACAACAACAACAACAACAACATTCAAGCCTTAATCCCAAAAGAATTTGGGGTCGGCTAACATGAATCGATATATGATATCAATGCCAAACAGAGAGACAGACGGGGGAAGTAAGATAAAGCGGATAAAATAAAGATAAATAAATATAAGATAACAATAACATAAGAAAATAAGAAAGACAAAAGAGCATAAAAAAGCTAGGATATAAAAATAACATAAGAATATAAAAGGATAAAGAAGATTAACGATAAAAGAAAAGAGAGGAAATGTAGAAAAGACACGAATCGTCCACAAGACGAAGGTTTACACGATTTGACAATTCACCTCAATTCACCTTTCTTCAAAGACACTCACCCATTGCCACTATCAAGTGAGTAATGAATTATAACTCGTGTATAATATAACAAATAAGATAAACTCACTCAATTCAACAAATTAAAGAGACCCAAATGTTTGGAGGCATTAAACTTTAGGTAAAATTA